CCGCGTTCTCTTTGCGCTGAGGAAAAACGCGGGGGGGGGGGGAGAGATGTGTTGAATAGACCCATAAATTGGAAAGGAGGGGGAACATGAGAACATAAGAGAAGCCATGTTGGATCAAGCCAACACTCTGTGTCACACAGTGGCCAAAAATACCAGGGGCCATCAGGAGGTCCACCAGTGGGGCCAGGACACTAGAAGCCCTCCCACTGTTGCCCCCCCCAAGCCCCCCAAATGGGGCTGCAATGGAAGGGAGAGAAGGAAGTTGTTGTTGGAAGTTCCAGATGCATCATTCCCTGTCTCAAATCTCCAGAGAGCTAGATAGGCACACTGAACGTTCTTCCAGTCTTTACTCTTCGGCCACTGTCCCCTTTGAAATGCAGATTGTGCTCTCAGGGACCATTTCCCCTTCCTTCCACTCTCTCACTCACTTGAAGACAAACTCTCTCCCTGCATCTACCAAGAGGGATGACATGCGGTCCCCTATCGGCACCAGGAGGCAGTTGGGCCTCTTGCCATCTGCTTCCATCCTTTAGCTAGTAAGTTAGTACTCTGTCGTGTCCCTACTCTTTCTCTTCTGAACTTGCAACGTGGCTCTCTGTAGCTTTGTAAGCTGGGGGATCTGGTAAAGTGATGCTCCTGCGTCTGTAGCTTTATTTAAGCACTCTGCTAACTAGTGGGAACTGGACTAACCACAGTTAAACTCAATAGTTGTACCGGAGGACCCATGGATATCCTTTGCTCAGGGAGCCGTAATAACCTTCCAAACCAAGAATGATAAGAGTCGCAATCTTTTCTTCCCTGCTGGGACCAATGTCAACTTCTAATTTTTTTGGCTGTCAAGTTGCAGCCAAACTATGGCTACCAGGCTTCCCAAGTACTTACCGTGATTCGGCGGGGGACACAGACGTCTTCACAGGATTATTCCTGCGGGGACAACAGACGCGCCGTACCATGCCGTCGCCAGGAAGTGACGCTGGGTGATCCTCTGGCAATGGGGCTCGAAACTCGATGGTACCGTCGAGTTTTCAGCCCCATTGCCAGAGCGTCGCCTAGCGTCACTTCCTGGCGACGGCATGCTGTGTTACAGGGAGGAATGGTCCGGCCGGGGAGCATGTTTCCCCCGCCGGATCGCAGTAAGTACTTGGGAACCCTAATGGCTACCCTGCTTGAGGCAAGACAGAAACAGAGGTCTTTTGCCACTGCCTGCCTCTGCGTAGCAACCCTGGGGTTCCTTGGTGGTTTCCCATCCAAGGACTAGCCAGAGCCGACCCTGCTTCGCTTTCAAGATTCCCCACTCCTCCACATGCAGCTGCTGGCATGACCTTGGGTCAGTCACAAGTTCTGTCAGAGCTGTTCTCTCAGGAGCAGTCCTCGATTCGAAAGAGCTCTCTCAGCCCCACCTACCGCAGAGGGCTTCTGTCATGGGGAGAGGAATGGAAAGGAGATTATAAGCCGCTCTGTGGTTTTGATTAGGGTAGCCAACCTCCATTGAGTTTGTCCTTCAAAGCAGCCATTTTCTCCAGGGGAACTGATCTCTGTCCTGTGGAGATCAGTTGTGATACTGGGAGATCTCCAGACCAGTGTTCCCTCTAAGCTGAGTTAGTGTGAGCCAGCTCACAATTTCTTAGCCTCCGGCTCACACATTTTCCTCTTAGCTCCGGAAGGATGGGGCTCCAGAGCAAACTCATTTATGCAGCAGCCAAATGGCTCACTCACAAGTTTAATGCCAGGAGCTCACAGGGTAGAACGCTTGCTCACAAGACTCCACGGCTTAGAGGGAACATCGCTCCAGGCCCCACCTGAAGAGATCGGGCTGTCCTGAGCCATCCAGGTCAGAGCTAATATCAAGTTAGGGGAGAGGAGTTTTGCTTCGCAGCAGTGCAGGGCAGAAAGGGTGAAACTCCTTTTGCTGCAAATTGGAAAACAAAGTAGAGTTTAATATTAAAACACAATGGATCACATGAAGCTGCCTTCTACTGGATCAGACCCTGGGTCCATCAAAGTCAGTACTGCCTACACAGACTGGCAGCCGCTCTCCTGGGTCCCAGGTCAAGGTCTTCCCCATCACCTACTGCCTGGTTCTTTTAATTGGAGATGCTGGGGATTGAACCTGGGACCTTCTGCATGCCAAGCGGAGGCTCTACCACTGAGCCAGGGTCCCAGCTCAAGGTCTTCCCCATCACCTACTGCCTGGTTCTTTTAACTGGAGATGTTGGGGGTTGAACCTGGGACCTTCTGCATGCCAAGCAGAGGCTCTACCACTGGGCCAGGGTCCCAGCTCAAGGTCTTCCCTATCACCTACTGCCTGGTTCTTTTAACTGGAGATGTTGGGGGTTGAACCTGGGACCTTCTGCATGCCAAGCAGAGGCTCTGCCACTGAGCCAGGGTCCCAGCTCAAGGTCTTCCCCATCTGGACCTACCGCCTGGTTCTTTTAACTGGAAATGCCGGGGACCAAACCTGGGACCTTCTGCATGCCAAGCAGAGGCTCTACCACTGAGCCATGGCCCCTCCCCTATAATATGTGACACAAGAAGCTGCCTTATACTGAACCAGACCTTTTTTGGTCCATCAAGATCAGTATTGATTACTCAAAGTGGTAGCAGCTCTCCAGGGTCGCAGGCAGAGGTCTTTCCCATCACCTACTGCCTGGTCCTTTCAAATAGAGATGTCAGGGATCATAGGAGTAAACTTTGGGGGTGCTAAGGGGCACTAGCACTCCCCGGATTTGGCCGGGGAAAGTGGCAGGCGATATTGACAAAGACTCAGTCATAATGGATGGCGGCAGAAGCACAAGACTCCTGTAAATGAACATCCGTGAAAACTTTTAAAATGTTCCCCTAACAGGCTTTTCTGTCTTTCCTTTCTCAGTGCTGTATTTGTGACTGTTAGTTTGTCCTATGCACTTGGTACATATATTTGCATATCTTAAAGTGACTATCCTAAAAGTAAATTTAAAAAACGGGACACAGCGGGAGATCGCTGAGATACCGCTATAACTGCTGAAGAAGAAGAGAAGAAGAGGAAGAGATTGGATTTATACCCCGCCCTTCACTACCCAAAGGTGTCTCAGAGCGGCTTCCAAACTCCTTCCCCTCCCCACTACAGACACCCTGTGAGGCAGGTGGGGCTGAGAGAGCTCTTTCAAGGACTGCTCCTGAGAGAACAGCTCTGAGAGAACTTGTGACTGTCCCAAGGTCACACCAGCAGCTGCATGTGGAGGAGTGGGGAATCAAACCCAGTGCTCCCAGATTAGAGTCTGCCTTCCTAACCACTACACCAAACAGGCTCTCTACACTACACTGGCCAACTCCTCCCTTTTCCGAGTTTCATCCCAGCCCAGAGGCTTTGTTAGGGGGGTGCCCAGGCCCTTCTAAATTTCTGGGGATCCCCTCCCTAAATCCCCTATGGTCCCGCCTCTCTAGATAGTGCCAATGGAGGCCCCTCCCTGTGATGTCACTGGCTCCTCCCTATGATGTCACTGGGCCCCAGTTCTTTTAAGGACCTAGTACAGCAATGCCTCTGGCCCAGCCCCAGCACCCCCCGGGGATATCCCTTGCTGGGGATGGAACCTGGGCCCTCCTGCACGCCAAGGAGACCCCGTCACAGATCTCCCCTGCAGTGTTGGCCCTCAGAAAGCTTTCTTTGGGCAGGTCCTTGGAATGTTTAATCAAGGCATGACAAATGGGGTCTATGGCAAAAGGCAGATTCCATTACGGCACTCTAGAGACGGGTCGACAGAGGGCGAGATTGCAGCTTCATTCCTTATCTGCCTGACTCACCCACCCTATCTCGGGACAACTCATTCACCTTGAAGGTTTGCAACATTCCGATCGGGAAAATAACAGGGCAGGCCTCCACCTTGGCCGACGTCCACCTGTTGCAAAGGAGAATGAAGACAGTCTGCCCGTTTATCAGCCTGCTGCGTCTAGCCCGCTTGCGGGGAGGGCGGGGTATAAGTGAAATAAAATAAAATAAAAATAATAAATAGGTTGGAGATGCCGCTGAATTCCACCTGGGAAGGGCACTGTGGGTTTTTTTTGATTAGGGTAGCCGTCACAGTGTTCCCTCTAAGCTGAATTAGTGTGAGCTAGCTTGCAGTTTTTTAGCCTCCGGCTCGCACGTTTTTTGTCTCCGCTCAGGAAGGGATGTCTCCAGAGCAAACTAATTTTATGCAGGAGCCAAATCGCTCGCTCACCACTTTCATGCCAGTCGCTCGCAATGTAGAATTTTTGCCCACAAGACTCCACAGCTTAGAGGGAGCATTGGTAGCCGATAATAATTATTGTGGTTTTCATCTGTCAGACTGACGATTCAGCTTTTATGGGAATGTTTTACTGAGATGTTGTTCGCTGCCCTGAGCTCTGTTCACAGGGGAGGGCGGTCTATAAATCAAATATATAAAAATACGTAAATAAATGAGTCCACCCTCCAAAGCAGCCATTTTCTCCCGGGGAACTGATCTCTGTCCTCTAGAGATCAGTGGTCATTTTGGGAGATCTCCAGACCCCACCTGGAGTTTGGCAACCCTGGGGGGCGAGTATTCTTCTAGCAAGTTTGAGGTCAAGAATAAGGTTTCCATATTCCAGGGGGCACCCGGAGATCTCCCACAGTTACAACTGCTCTCCGGACATCCAAGATCAGTTCCCCTGGAGAAAATGGCCACTTTGGAGGGTGGACTTAGGGTTGCCAGGTCTGGGTTGGAAAATACCTGGAGACTTTGGGGGTGGATCCAGGAGAGGGCGGGGTTTGGGGAGGGGAGGGGCTGCAGCATGGTACAATGCCATAGAGTCCACCCTTCAAAGCAGCCATTTTCTCCAGAGGAACTTATCTCTGTCAGCTGGAGATCAGTTGTAAAAGCAGGAGATCCCCAGGCCCCACCTGGAGGCTGGCAACCATGGGTGGACTCCTTGGCACTATACCCTGCTAAGGTCCCTCCTCCTCTCCCCAAACCCCGCCCCCAAATCTCCAGGTATTTCCTAACCCACAGCTGGCAATCCAGCAATGAAAGAGAGCTTGCCAGTGCGTCAAGTTGCCATTTTGAACAAAACTTAAGAGACTCAGCAGAGTAAGGTGACCCGTTCTTTCCAGGGACGGTTTTTGCCATGTCCAGCCGAGTCAGGCTTTGATGACAACAACATGTGTCACAGCTGGGTGCCCCATCTGAAAACGAGGAAGCATCTGGAGGACAAGGCAAAGGTCGAATCCGACATACAGCCCTGCCTTTTCCTATTGAAAGAACCTGGTTTCCTACAGTGTGTGTATGGGGGGTCAAATCCTGCCTTCCTGCAAAATCCTGCCTTCCTGCAAGCAGGGGATGTTTATCCAATAACATGGCACCAGGATCTGCTGCCGCTTGCAAAAATGCAGGCCTTTTTTGGGGGGGGGAATGCGCCGGAACGGAGTTGCGGAACCTCTTCGACAAGACTCTTTTAAAAACTTTTAAAGGTTTGTAGTGTTTTCAGTGCACAGTTTGAAAACTTCACTGCCCTCTTGAGAATTCCGGCACCTCTTTTTCCCAAAAAAAGAGGAAAAAAGCCCTGCGAAAATGTCTGCGACGACAACCACCGAAATCCAAAATGGCTTTGATAGACAAAAGACGAAGGATGAAGGAGTTGATTTCCCAGGAGATTGGTGGCGCGGAAATAAGCAGGGCTATTTTGGGGCAGGAACGCACAGGAGCGGAGTTCCGGCTGGCTCCCGAGTTGGCCACGCCCAGCAGGGACTCATTAGCATAATAGGCCACACCCAACAGCAGAAACTCATTAGGATTGGCTACATTAGGGGTGTGTGGCCTAACATGCAAAGGAGTTCTTGCTACAAAAAAGGCCCTGGGTTTTGACAACAAACAAGGTCAACAGAATAAGAAGCAAAAGGTGGGTGTGGCTGGATGACCAGACTTCTGGTAACATGGGGGTGCGGCCTAATGTGGTAATGAGCTGTGCTGTCAGGGGTGTGGCCCAATAGGCTAATGAGTTCCTGCTGTTGGGTGTGGCCTATTATGCTAATGAGTTCCTGCTGGGCTTTTTCTACAAAAAGAGCCCTGGAAATAAGTATTGTTAAAGACATATTTTTTTTCCTATTGTGG